GGCGCGGTCTCGTCTCTGACAACTGTGACATTGAACTTCTTTGGCTTCTTGTGTCCAGAATGACTCCAATACTTAATCCCATCCAAGAATTTAGCCAAATGAGAGCTCCATCCCTTGAAAATATCTCTCAAATCAGACAGTGATATGTAATTGATCATGTTGTCATACACTATTATCTTCAGGGATGGGAGCTGAAGTTGGACGAGAAGCCAGTGACGACGTTCCAAAACAGGGATAAACACCTGCGATCATAAGTAATAATTCATTTATTTGTGCACTTATTTATTAACACCTTTAAAAAATTTAAAAAATTAACACTAACCTTATCGACCTCCCACCATGCAGGATAAAGTTTAGCTTGTCCATTGCCCAACAAAAATGATTCATCTCGTTGATTCTTCAATTGAACTGCGTGAAAAGCCGTCGGCATTATTGTATATAGCGAATTTTTTTTATTTTTCCTAAGCTTCCTTATTATTAGTAGACGTGACACCCACGCATCGATATGCTGTTTTACAAAAAAATACATATATTAGTGAATTACATTAATTTTTAAACAAATTAATCAAAATCATATATAAGACAAATATAGTCTTACCTCCCCATCCAAATAGCCACTGTCTTCAACCCCTAATAGCACACCCCACCAAGACCGATCAAGCAACAAAAACATTTCATCGTTGAGTTTGCTGATGTCAGTGTAACACCCTTGGCTCCGCTCATGTAGATAAAAATCAACTGCGGTCTTAGCCCAAAGGGTATTATCCACAATTGTTTCCGGTAGTTGTCTCCTCTCCACTTCAGATACCGGAAGGGTACTAGCCGGTAACTCATACGAGAGCCAACTCTCATCCATCATGTCCGGAACCGGTGGGGGTTTCTCAATACTTCGATATATTACCCCATGTGAATCGGGCTCTGGAATGGTGGGAGGGACCTCTTCAACGATGACAGTGGCCTCTTGAACGGTGGGGGGAATCTTGAGGGAGAAAAGGGGCCTCTTGAACGATTGGAGGGGACTCTTGAGGGATGACCGGTGAGTCGGGCTTCTTCTTGCGGAGTCTTCGCACCATTGGGGTGAACGGAGACGTAATAGCACGTCCACGCCGTCTGATGCGTGAACTCCGTCGTGCAAGGAAAACCCGACGTAAAGCATCCACCTTATCGGGCCGCTAAAAAAAATTAATACATAAATCAGTAAATAAACAGACATGATATTAAACAAAGACAAATATGTTTCAAACTAGCATTGTATTCACCCAAATCATTATTCTATCATAGTTCACAAAATGCTCAGATAACATTCCAGAAGTAAGCACTTATATAAACATTTAAAAGGACAACATATATAACATTCCAGAAGAAGAATAGTTTACTTTCGCAACACGAAACTTAAAATCGCAACGCGAAATGACTATCGCAATGCGGAAATGGCTATCGCAATGCAAAATGAAAATCGCAACGACAAAATCGCAACGCGAAATGAAATCGCAACGCGAAACACAAATCGCATTGCGATTTTCATTTCGCGTTGCGATTTTGTCGTTGCGATTTCATTTCGCGTTGCGATTTTGTCGTTGTGATTTTCATTTCGCATTGCGATAGCCATTTACGCGTTGCGATAGTCATTTTCGTGTTGCGAAAGTAAACTATTCTTCTTCTGCAAATTGAAACTTGAATGAATTGCATTACTTCAACCAAAAGACAAAAACAAAACCAAAAACAAATACTAACAAAAACAGATTGGCAGCAACCGAATGAATTACGAGTATGAAAAATCTTAAACTTACCTCGTTGCGTAGAGTATGAACCTCATTCTGCAACGATGCTACCATCTCACGTAGAGCGGCTACCTCACCGCGTAATGTAGACACCTAAACACGCCATGCACCATCGTCTTTGCGTAAAGTACCGACCTCCTCACGCAAGGCATTGACCTCATCACGTAACTCCCCTAACTCATCCCGTTGAGGTGGAGGTGGAGAACAGGGAGATAAACGTCGTGGCATCTTTGCCGGTCGCCTATCTTGCGGTGATGGTGGAGAAGAGGCTCGATGATGTGACAGAATAGGTGATGGCTATCGTTGTGGAGGTGTATAGCCGGGTCGATCAGATGATGGCTCTAGGTGAGGTGATAGCTCTGGGCGAGGTGATGGCTCCCGAAGTGGAGGCTGCTCATCAACCGTTCCATTAAAAAAACGCTTACTAGCTTGCCACCAATCAGTGGCAAGCTCAGCTTTCGTGGGTGTCAGCCTCTGTAGAGGAGTGTTGGCCTCCTAACAATATAAAAGCTCAAACAAAGTTAAATGTGTACTAGTAATAACTTGTTTATAAACATATGGTAGTATTTATGTTAACTTACATTATTTATTGTCGTATACCGTAGTAAATCTTCCCATTGCAAGGTTCGTTTCCTCTTCCAGGAAATAGCCCTGGGAATATTATTTGAAGTTTTTATTGCATATGTCTTCATGGCGGGAAAGGCCTCAAATATCCAAATCTACAAACAATATAATAACAAACATTAGTAATTGTTAAATAATTACTTATAATTTTGGAAACATTATATAAAAATTCTTACCTTAAAGGCCCAAATAAAGCCTGTCAAAGTGTATTTGGAACCATCGCCATGCAAACTTTTTCGATCATCCAAGGCAGACGATAACTTATTCCATGTAGCTTTCCATAAATACGAGCCCCACGGAAACAGGTTCCACGCATTTAGGTCTTCTACCAATTTGATTAGATCATTTGGAATAGGTTGTCTGGCCTCTCTGCCTAAAAAGCCGACATGCAAAAGAATTAGAAGGCATACTCGGACAACGTCGACGTCATCCATCCGAGTAAAACCATCTTTATTATTCAAAAATCTTGTCAGGTCTTCTACGTGTAGACTCAGCCTCTCCAGCTCAGGAAAAACCCGGGATAGCCATGATGGGCGGGTAATGTGTCTAGTGTACCGACCTACATCATCGTGTCCGAAGCGTAGACCGGTGATTAAGCAAAACTCCTCCCGCCCAAAACACATATACGCCGGTGGAAAATCAAACCATATCTCTTCATCACGACGTTGTATAGTCTCTGGTAGATCTCTAGTCATGGTTTGAAGAAACAGGTGTGTCAACATCGCATCTCCACCGGGATGTTGTACTTTCAGCCATGGCCCGAAGCATGTATCCTCAAACATTTTTCTTTGTGCAGGTGAAAGCTTCGACGCAATTGTTTTGGCCAGGCTGACTTTATTTCTCAAGGTCAATTGAGCCGAATAAAAGTTCTACAAAAACAATAAACATACTAAATTAGATATACCAAAAACTACACTGTGAAGATATACCAAAAACAATAATAAACATAAATAGTAGTAGTTTATTCTTCAAACTTAAATATACAACACTGTGAATTTCGTATTTGTCTTTGTTTTTTGGTTGAAGTAATGCAATTCATTCAAGTTTCAATTTGCAGAAGAAGAATAGTTTCTGAAAATGAAAATCGCAACACGAAAATGACTATCGCAACGAGAGAATCACAACGCGAAACTAAAATCGCGTTGCGATTTGCATTTCGCGTTGCGATTCTTGGTTGATTTAATAAGCAATCTAAGTGAAATGGTTAATCTATTATTGAAATTACCAGTAAACTTATCATCAATTTCAATATGAAAAACCTAATAATAATGCAAAAATTTCAAAAAGAAAATAATTAAAAAAACTAACCCTCGTTGGTTGATTTGGTTGATTTTCCATTTCTGATTGTGAGGGTGGCTCTGAGAGATTTAGATAGACGGATTTCGCCGGAGATGGGGACGGATTTCGTCGGAGATGGGTGAGAGAGTGAGAGATGGAGATGGGACTGAGTTGTGATTTTAGGTTTTAGGTTATGAGTTGCGATTACGGGATATACTGTGGACAGTTCAGTGTTCCAATATATTTATATTCATGTTTGGAATTTAAAAATAAAATACTTGGCCAGGATACTAATGGCGCTTTGAAAATCGCATTGCGATTATGTATTATCGCGTTGCGAAAGTCAGTATCGCGTTGCGAAAGTAAGTATCTCGTTGCGATTTTTTATTATCGCATTGCGATAGTCAGTATCGCATTGCGATTTTCCCAATTCGCGTTGCGATTTACTTATTCGCATTGCGAATTTCCCAATTCGCGTTGCGATTTACTTATTCGCATTGCGAATTGGGAAAATCGCAACGATACTGTAGACCATCGCAACGCGATTTTCAACTATCGCATTGCGAAAATGCAACGCGAATTTGCGATAATGGAGATCGCGTTGCGAATTAGCGATCGCATTGCGATTTTGTTGGTCATTTTGGCAAATCCGGAAAAAGTTAGTTAAAATCGTATATTATATGGGATTTTTGGTCACTGAGGTTATTTTCTCTTATATTTATTCTATATTAATAATAAAAAAACAGATTTACTAATACAAATTTAACTACAGTCGCAGTCTATCAAATTAAGTTAGTGCTTTCCAGCGCGTATGGATAACTTTACTTGAAAAGCAGGGTATTTATTCAAGGATCCATTTGTTTGGTAGCAAGCTCAATATTTTTTACTATCATTATTTCGACTCCTCTCACACTCACCTTCCCTTTTAAAGCAAATTACAAAATAATTTTGTTTTAATCTGTAATAAATATATTGAATCTGAAGCTCAAAAGGATTTCGATGAAATATTCAGGCCATAATATGTAATAAATATATTGAATCTAAAGGCCATAAAAGAAATATTAGTTTGGAACTTCGCTTTCTTTATGTCATAATTGTTACCATCCACATTCATTTCCATTTTCTGAAGTGATAAACAATTTACGAAATATGACAAATGTCAAATTAATATTAGCAATATCAAGTCATGAGAAAATAAATAAAATTAAGAGTATTAGAAAATTAATTTTATTAACTTATCAAATTATTTAGTGTTATCGGTTGATTTGATTTCACGTAGTTAAGAATAATAGAATAGATGTGTGTTGTAAATGGAAGAAAAATAAAACACCACAATTTATTGCTATAAGGCACGGATACTTAGATCATAGGTTGCTACCGAACGTTCATTCCGGCACATGAAACTGGACACATAGAGCTACCAAACCTTCATACGGCAACCCTGTCCCTTAGCATACATATTAAACAACATTAGACACTAAGACCACCCACCACTTAACAACTAGTAGCTGGGATGGCTTCTAACGCTCATAAACACAGGCCGGCAGTCGAGCTTTGGGGGTGCTGAGCAAGCTCTTACCCTTCTGAATGGTAAGCCCCACTCTCTCCCCCAAATCATTCAGGACATCCGGAGGCGACTCCCAATCGAAGGCATGCAGCAGAGCTGCCAAGTAGTAATGCACCATGCGATGAGCCAGCGGCCATCCAACGCACGACCTTCTCCCCGTCCCAAACGGCAGCAGGTTGAAGTCTTGGCCCTTCACGTCCACGCTTGACCCGATGAACCTCTCAGGCTTGAACTCTAAAGGGTCTTCCCACACCTTGGGGTCCCTTGCCATTCCCCATACGTTCACGTAAACGATGCAGTGCTTGGGAATATGGTAGCCGGCTACCTCGCATGCCTCGTTGGTGCGACGAGGGATGATGAGTGGAACACCGGGGTGCAGCCTGAAAACTTCTTTCACTGCTGCTTGAAGGTATGGAAGGTTCGGGATGTCACTCTCCACCATAAATCTGTCCTTCCCTATGACCTGGTCCAGTTCTTGTACCAGTTGCTGATGCACTTTAGGATTCCTTAGGATCTCCGCCATGCCCCACTCCACAGTGCTGGACGTTGTCTCTGTTCCCGCAATAAACATTTCCTGCCAAAACAACAACAACAAAAAATATATAATATCAAATTAACAATCCTAATCCGATCTTCTTTTTAAAAGGACTTTTACTTACGGAAAGCATTCCTTTGACTATGGATCTTGAGAATTTTTCCAAGCCATGTTCTTTATCATTACTCTCATAGCTCAAAAGAACTCCCAGCATGTCCATTTTCTGCTTGTAGGGTGTGCCGTGAAGTTGAGCTTTTTCCTTCTCAGCAATCCTCTCGGCAATTAACTTGTCGTAGAAAGCGTCCAATTGCGAAAAGACCTTGCTGGTGTTCCTCTTCAACCCTTGTGGATCCAATGGTTTAACAATCGGGATGAGATCCGAAAAGTTTGGTGTGCCGATCATCTTTATCAGTTCCCAGAACCTCTCCTTCATTTTCCTTCCTTCGGGCTTTGAGTTGTCGAAAAGGTTTTTGGAGCAAACGAAGTTACTCACTAGGTTGGCCAATGCTGTGAATGCATATTCTGCTATATTCACTTGAGTGTTGGCCTTTGAGATCACGTATAAATACTTGAGCACACCATGAACCTATTCACAGGAACAACAAGCAAATCAGCTAAAACTTCATATATATATGTATATTATAGAGTATATAATATCAAACCTGAGAGGTACGAAGTGGCTCGAATTGTTCAAAGGCCTTAGGAGAAAGCAGTTCAGTTATCAAGATCCTACGAAGGGCCTTCCACCTCGGACCATAGGGTGAGAAGATGATGGAATGAGCATCATATGAAATGACTCGAATGGTCTCGGTTATGGTCCGACTGGAGAACATGCCTTCCTTCTCCTTCAACACTTGAGCCGCCATTTCTGGTGATGACACCACTATGGCCGGCTTTACGCCCAGGTTTAGACAGAAAAGCGGACCATAGATCTTGGCCAAGTTAAAGAAATCTTCATGGAGACGATTGGAGAGGTGTGGAAGGCTGCCGAGGATGGGCCAACCGACGGGGCCGGGTGGTGCATTCTTCCAGTTTTTGGAGCGACCACCCAAGAGGACAGGGATGAGGAAATAGGAAGCAATGGACATTGTCAGCGCTAAGATTATGGTGCCTGAAAAATAGTCACCGGAGCTGGAGATGTATGAATTGAACAAACCCATTATGGCAGTGTCTGTCTCTCACATTTGCTTCCAACTATTTGTATATATAGAGTATAGACAAGGATGGAGTGGAGAAGAAGGTGGTAGTGACGGTGAAATAGACAGGGAATCTCCCTACGTCAGAAAACCAAATATCCAAAATTTTACATGCAATGAATATTGATTCTTTTTAGCTTCCTGTGCATTGAGAAGTCGAAATGAACACGACTGTCTCAGGCACAAACGTAACCGTCCTCAACAAACTAAAAAAGCCTTATTATCGTGACTGAAGAATCTGAAAGTTTCTGAAGGAGGAAAGCCTGTAAAGTGGGGTGAAGCCAAGGATGCATTTAAGGCCTAATAAATGCGTGCCAAAGATGCATGAATCACTTCTACTTCCACTATACGCACACTGTCCAGTTAAACCCTTGAATATTCTTCATACGTTTCATTCATTTTCTCAAATTTATATTATATATCGTAAGAAGAGGGAAATAGAGAAAATAAATATTTCATGTTTAATATTCATTCAAATTAGTTCATGAATGACTCAGAACTTTTTTTTCTAAACGAAATATTCAAAATATGTTAATAAATACTCTTAAATTGTCGGACTTTTAAGAAATTCCAGTTTGTTAATAAATAGACATTGAACAAATTGTTCGGTTTTAAAAATAATCATAAGTATTATATTTATGCTTACGTTTGTCGCTTGATTTATATTATTTTTAGAATTTGATTGGTTAATCAAATTGTTCATATTTATTCTTTTACTCAGGAGCAATCCTTCCTGCCTATCCAAGGCCCAGAATTTTTATAACACATTATACTTATAAAAAATGATTTTATATCAATTAAAAGGCCTAATTATTTTTAATATTTGTTATTAGGGGTTTAATTTTTCTCAAATATTTATTATTATGTGCTCAATTTTTTTTTCTAATATTTATTATTAGGAGTCTACTCTTATAATTTATTTTCTTCTAATATTTGTATAAGTGTCCAATTTTTTATCAATATTTTTTTCTAACATTTGTTATTAAAGATCCAATTTTTTGATATTTGTTATTAGGGGCGTACTTTTAAAATTCAATTATTTATAATTTATTTGTTTTTACGAGTCCAATTTTTTTTTATATTTTTTATTGTAGGTCTAATTTTTTTAATATATGTTATTACGAGCATACTCTTAAAATTTACTTTTTCTTTAATATTTTTTTTAGGGAACCATTTTTTTGAATACTTATTATTATGGAGCTACCTTTAATATTCATTTTTTCAACACTTGTTATTAAGAACAATTACTTAAATAACAGTATGTAACCAAAACAATGATCATTATGTAGTGGTAACGACATCGTCCAAAACCATGATATCCACAACTGTTTTGTCCACAATAGCATATGTTATTAAAAATTCATAACCACGATACTTGTAGTGACTACAATATCATCAATCATGCCTGCAATAATGATACACACAAAGAGGCCGAAGACATAAAAACAAACTATAATTTAAATTCCTTATCAGTGCCTTAAATTTTTGGTTTGCATGAGAGTCACTGAAATCTCAAAAACAAGTCTGACTAGGAGCAAGCTCCTTTCTTTCCTTGGAATTTCCTTTTCTCATTCCCTCGAGATAGGATTAAGATTTGTATTTAAAATTTATAAAGAAAATGAAACATTACCTTAAATTATTTTGAAAACTTTAAAAACTTTTAATATAAGTAAACAGGTAGTCAATTTTTTTGGGACCACTTGAAGAAAGATAATCCATTTTCGATAAATCATTCATCGTATTTACCTTTATATTTGTAATGTATATAAACTAGTTGAACGTGTTACTATTATGAATCGATTTAACATTAATCTAATTATAAAATTATTAAAATAAATTTATTTTAAAGGAGGATTACTATTATTATGAGGGCTTTTCTTTTATTTTCTTGCTAATATGGAATTATGAAGTGGATTACGTTAGATTAGATAGAGAGACACCCATCAAATCCTTTATGTTTTATTTTTATAAGTTTATGATGTTTACAAGATAATATATATTTGAAAGATTTAATTATTTAATAATAGATATTCAAATATCTCTAAAAAACGTTATTTTTAAACTTGATACCTCTAAAAATAATAATTATCACTTTAATCATTAAAATTGTTTATTTCATTAAAAAAATTATATTTTCTTGTTTTCATTCTTCCTTCTGTTTTTTTTTTAATTTCTTTTAAGCAAGGACTTAGGGTGGTGAAGAGTAAAGAGGGGGCACGAAGTGGTTGGGGAGAGAGAATTACCACCAAATTTGTTTGTTTTTATCCCGGAAAAAATGTGTGGAAAAGGAAGCGATAGAAAATGGTCGGTGTTCTTTCTTTTTTTAATGGGCTTTTTAGCTCGACTCATAAGTATGTATTGTATTCATTTTTATAAACTACACCTCAATTATATTGTTTTTCTTATGTTTAGTATGAAAATAAGTATTTTAATTATATTTTAATTTTTATTTTAAATGTTTAAATTTTTAAGAGCAAGATACCAAAACGAAACAAAGAGTAAATGTTAGGATGACTTTGAAATAAATGGAAGTTTAGGTACTAAAGCGAAACAAAACTGATAGTTTTTGTATTAATGTGTAAGTTACCCAATTCTTTAACATTCAAAAGATCAATTTTTTTTGTCATTCATATATAAACTTAACACGTTAACAATATGATGGATTTTGTTAATAAAAAATTTAAGGGTAAACTACACAAATAGTAACTAATGTTTGAGTAAGTTTTCGTTTTTACCACTGGTGTTTCAAAAGTCACAAATCGATCACTAATGTTTTCGTGTGTTACAAATTGGTCACTCAACGTTAACAACCGTTAACACACGTGACAAAAAATATAGCTGGCACGTTAACCACTTACATGGATTGGGTTGACTGGGTTAACCGCCACGTTGGAGAACCAAAAGCCTTCAACAATCACCTATTCTCCTTTAAAAAATCCCAATCCCTAAACTTAATTTAGGATTTTTCATTCCTATCTCTATTCTTTAAAAAAAATCTGAAATTTGTAAGAGAAGACTCCATTGATGTTCCGCTTTGCAACTGTGGATGTCCAACTAAGGTTTTTTTTTTCTATTAAACCCAAAGGAATCTTGTCATAAAGTATAGTTGTAACACCCTTAACATGTACCCGACCCAGATATAAATATGAGATGTCACATTGACTTTTAAAAACTTTGACTCTTTAAAAATTCGTTGGAAATTTAAACTTTACTTTGAAATTATTGGTGTAACCCTCATACAAAAATTCATAACCAAAAACTTGTATTTCATAATGAAAGTTAATGCTTAATATATTTACATAAACATAAAATAGTATGGTTACAAAACTGATTAGAGCATTTCTATTTAAACTTCATGATACATGCCAACAAAATTTCAAAATAACCAACATCACATACAATTTAAATAATTCTAATATGATCATCTTCAGGCGTATGTTGTCCTTTCCTAGCTTTACTCCTTGGATCTCATCGAATCTACGTGTGAAAACACTCACACGCTAAGTCATTGACTTAGTGGGGCATAATGAGCATAATAAAACATTTAGATACATCTTCTTATTCATTTCATAGAAAACATTGCATACTGAAACTAAGATACACTGCTCGAAATAACATATATTGTTACACATTATTTAATTTATATCACTTTGTTATAATAGCCTAATGCATATCATTGAAAACTCAAGGTATCTGAGTACATTGAGGTTGTGCACTATAATTGCAGTCACCACTGCTCATATAAATTGCACCGAAGTGCTACATAGATTTATCTCGAAGGACCACGTAAAATTTGTCCCGAATAACCACCCAGAAATTTGTCCTGAAGGACCGCGTAGAACCCTCGACTCTTGGCATGCCAACTATAACTCTAATTCTCATACATATGCTTTGGGCTTTAACCGTATAATTATTTCACACTTAATTATTCAAGGTATCCTTTATTCACGTAGAACACATTCATATAAAGCATTTTCACATAGAACACATTCATGTAAAGCATTTTCACATGGAACACGTTCACATATTAATAAAATCAAAACAGTACTTCGTAAATACAATTTATATAAAACATCATAAAAATATTGCATAAAATAAAATAAATAAAATTGTTTTCAATCGAAAACCCTCAAGGTTGGTTTATCGCAAGCCGTCCCCATATATAATATAAAACAATAAATTGCACTCACATTAGCCTCACGTAAGTCCTAAAAAAATCCTTTTAACTTTATTTCAATCTCTTTGCTATATCGCTTCGTTCAGTATGCTTTCGATCCAAATCTACACATCAACGTATTCAAGATAAATACTGAATCTCAATTAACGATTAACAAATCCACATTTACATAAACGAAATAAACCACCCAATTTAAAATTTCAGACTGAATATGTAATACCCCAAATATCGGGTCAGTGATTAAAATGTAAGAATTTAAAATTTAGTGGTTTAATTGGAATAAGTTGAAAGGTTCAAGGACTAATTTTGGAAATTTGTGTTTAGGATTTATTAGCAAAGATTGAAGAATGGAAGGGCAAAGAGGTATTTTAGCAGAATATGAATTTAAAATTCATTTTAAATGATATTTTAAGCTTATGAATGTAAAAAAAATTGTCTGGAAGCTTGGCTCATTTTTCTTTTTATTCTTTTCTCGTGACTCCATTGATAAGGTGAGTTTGTCTCAAGTTGATTATTCTTTTCATTTTTGAGTTGGTTTTGAGACATTGAGTGATATATAAGATTAAGGAAAACTTAAAGTGGAATAAAACTAAAAGATTAGTGATTTATCAACGGATTAGTAGAATGGGTTTTTAAGGGATTTTATGATATGTTTTAGTATTTAGATTTCTAATGATAAATTTGACTTGTCAAGGGTCTAATTAATAAGTTAGAAGTATTAGAAATGATTAAGAACATGTTTGAATAATTAGTGTGATTTTTATTTATAAGAGTTTTATGGAGGAATTTAAATGTTATAAGAGGATTAATGGACAA